CGACACCATTATACATTCTTACCACCAATATCTGAGGAATCCAATTTCTTCACATCCTCACTAACACCTGTTATCTGTCTTTTTGATTACAGCTGTCCTACTGGGTTTGAAGCAGAAACACTGAGCAAATAGTACAATGTTCCCATACACACCCCCTGCACATGCATAATTTTCCTTAAAATTTTGTTCTTGCATTAATGTGGTACATTCATTACAATCAGTGAGTCAATATTAATATATCATTATTAATTCAGGTCCACAGTTTAGATGAAGGTTCATGCTTGGTGTTTTCATTTCATGAGTTTTTAAAAATGTGTAATAGTATGCATCCACCATTATAGTACCATATAAAAAGTGTTTCACTGCCAAAAAAAGTTATTCTGGTTTTTATTTGTATTTCCCTAATGACAAATGATATGGAACAGCTTACCACATGCTTATTGGCTATTCATATATCCCGTTTGGAGAAATGTGAATTCAGATGTTTTGCTGTTTTTTTAAAAAATTGTGTCATTGGCCTTTTCATTATTTGGTTGTAAAGTCTGTTATATGTTCCAGATACAATTTCTTATAAGATATATGGTTTGCAAATATTTTCTCCCACTTTGTGGGTTTTCTCTGCACTTTCTTGGTGATGTTAACACTTCAATTTTATGATACTCTTCCATGGAGCACTGAACTACTGTGATATGTGGGGTTCAAGACTTAAGTTGAGGATCCCAGTGGCTTGAGAGGCTGAGGCAGGGGGACTGTGAGTTCAAAGCCAGCCTCAGCAAAGGTGAGGCACTGAGCAACTCAGTGAGACCCTGTCTTTAAATAAAATACAAAATAGGGCTGGGGATGTGGCTCAGTGGTTGAGCACCCCTGAGTTCAATCCCTGGTACCAAAACACAAACTAATAAACAAACAGAAAAGCATTAGTTGAGGGACTGGGGGTGTAGCTCAGTGGTAGAACTTTTGCCTAGCATGCAACCAGGCCCTGGGTTTGATTCCTGGCACTACAAAAAATTAAAAACAATAAAGTAAAGAAATAAAGTCAGCATTTCTGTTCCTAAGATCTCATAAGTATTCTATATTTCAGAATATGAAGAGTTGTCTGATAGGGCTCTTTAAACCAGAATTCATTTATTTAACCAGAGATGATTTATTTATCAAAATGTACTAAGCATCTACTCTATAGCTCAGCTCTGTTCTACATCCTGCAAATACAAAAATTATGAAATTAGGTCATGTCTCATGAATTTACATTCTAGATGAAAGGGCAAACACTAAACAATATAAACAAGTAAAATATATGTTAAGTGGTAATAAAGAAAAATAATTCAGAAAGCATGTGACTGAATGGTGGTGGGGATGGGATTTTAACTTTAGATAGGATAGTCAGAGAATGTTGCACTGCAAGACTTGAAAGAAGAGAGGGAGGCAGACATGTGGGTGTCTGTGGGGACAATATTAAAAGTACAGAGGACAGCAGGTGAATAGGCTCTGAGGTAGGAAACTGACCGTAGGTTTCAGAAATAAGAGGTCAGTGTGGCTGACCTGAAGTTGGTAAGGGGGTAAGTGACTGGCGATGAGTTCAGAGAATCAGACATGGTAGGGCCTTAAGGACTATTGTAACAATTGTGCATTTTATTCTGAGAAATATAGCCATTGAGAAAAGGATGTATGTCATCTGATTTAGGTCCAATGGGATCACTCAGGCTGCTGTGTTGAGAGTAGACTATATGAGTAATTGAGCAAAAATGGAAGCAGGGAGACCAATTAGGAGAATGTTGTAATCTGTGCAAAAATGCTAATAGTTTCGACAAAGATAGTGGCAGTGGAGGTGGTGAGAAGTTGTATTCTGGATATGTTTTGGAAGTACTGGTGACAGAACTTGTAGTTTTGAGTTATTGGGAAAAGAGAAAAATAAGGATGAATCTCAGACTTTTAGCCTGGACAAATGGAAGGATAGAGTTGCTCTTTATTGAGAAACAAAACAAAACAAAACAAAACTGTAGTAACAAGTTTGAATGACAATATCAAGAAGTTGGTTTAAGGTTTGTTTAGGTCATAAAACCTATTAGGCATCCAAGTAGAGATGTTTGGTAAAAAATTGGATATATGTGTCTGGAGATTATGGAAAAATGTATGATATATTTGGACACCATCAGAATGCAGATAATATTTAAAGAATGAATGAGATTACCAAAGTGTGCCCTAGGGTTCAATAAATAAAGAAGAGAATATGACTAAGGATTGAACCCTGGGGCACTCTAGAAGTTGGGTTAGCAAGAGGAATCAGCAAAAGAGACTAATCATGACAGGCCAATGAGATAGAAGAGTCTGGTATCCTGGAAGCCAAGTCAGTAGGGAGTGATCAACTTTAACAATGACTACTATTAAGGCAAATGTATTTGAACATTGGGTTTAGCAATGTGAAGGCCACTGGTGGTCATGTAGAGTAATTTCAGTGGAATGATGGGAGTGAAAACCTCATTGCTGCTGGGCTTTAACAGAAAATGGAAATATGGATAGTTTCTTTTCTTCTTTTTTTTTAGTTTTGCTACAAAGAACAAAAATGTGTGTGGGGGGAATAAGTGGGATAGGAAAATTTTTAGATGGGAGAAATGACAGTGTTTTTAAAATGCTGATGGTAATGATTCAAAGAAAGTGGGAAGTGGATGATGCAGGAGAGAACTGGTGAATTGCTGGGGCGATGTTCTTGAGTAGGTGAGTGGAGTTGGGATCTAGTAGGCAAGTGTGGGCGTTGGTATTAGATAGGAACATGGGCACAAAGAGGAATGTAGACACACTTCCACATACAGGCACAGAAGCTGGTAGTCTTGATGTGGTGGCGGGACAGTGTGAAAGTTCTCTTCTAGTTTCTATTTTCTGTGAGGCGAGTATGATGATGGGAAGAAGAAAGGTTGGAAGTCTGACAGAAGTGTGAAATAGTAATTTATGAGAGTGGCAGAATAAATGGATTAGGCAAATGCAATATGATTCTGAATAGCATTAAAGATCTATTTGAAGCTGATAGTTGTATGTGTGTATGTGTGTGTGTGTGTGTGTGTGTGTGTGTATGTTCTCCATCTTCTCAGCAGCAAAGGTATAGGTGTGGGATAGGCAGAAAGTTAGATTTAACCAGTGTTGGAGTTTTTCCAGTCGAGTCAGATGAAGCAAGAGGAAGCTAGTTGAGGGGGTGATTACAGGAATTGAACAGTGAAATGGATAAGTTGGAAAGTGAGATCATGAGGCAGGTGAGGGAGAGTAAAGGTTGAAAAGTTACTGCTGACTTGGGGTACACAATAAGCATAATATGCTGCCTGAGACCCATGTCATTAATAAAAGTTTCCCGGTGATTTTGACAGGGACGCTTATTTGAACATACAAGTTCTGGTGTGTGTATTAAAAAGAAATCCAGTGAAGTCACTAAAGTAATGTACTAGCCTCACCTCATTTATATATCACCTCTCCTAAGAAGGGCTTTAGCTGCTGAATAACAATCTATCAAACTGCAACATGTCTCAGAGGCTATGACTCCCAGAAGAATCAAAGTTTGAGTAAAAGCAGATGAAAGACTAGAGATAACGAGAAAGGGGATGAAGAGAAAGGTAGAGTAGAAAGGCAGCAGCAGGCCTTTAGGATAAAAATGTCATTGGTAATTCAACTAGTATAGAAATAATACCTTAAAAAGAATCAAAAGGATGAATAAGAGTAATAAAGAGAGTGTTGCAGGGAGAAGCATAAAAGATATGAGAAATATAGTGAAAGAACACAAAAATATTGAGATTCTTCAGTGTTGCTTCTGAAAGAATGAAGTTGAATTTACTCGTAATGGAAGCATTGTAAGAGAATGTTTATTTGGTGCTTACTATGCACTAAGCATTTTATACATGTTTGTTTTCATTCCACTGTCAACAGCTCTAAAAGGGAGATGCCATGATAGTTCTCATTTTACAGATGAAGAAACAGGAATAGAGACATGAAATCATTTATCTAAGCACTTCTCTCCTTGAATCCAAAGCCAGAGCCCCTTCTATTGCTCAAACCATCTCCCAGATGAAAAAAATGTTGTATGTAAAAGTATCCTTTAAAAAAAATTATTTGTAGTCAGGCACCATGGCACACCCATAGACTCCCAGCAACTCAGGAGACTGAGGCAGGAAGATTATAAATCTGAGGCCAGTCTTGAACTTGACAGCAACTTAGTGAAACCCTGTTTCAAGATCAAAAATAAAAAGGGCTGGGGATGTAGCTCAGTAGTAGAGCACTCCTGGGTTCAATCCTCAGGACCACATACACAAAAGTTATCATTTGTATACATCTTCCTTTTTATTTTTATAAAAATTTATAGTTACAAAACAGAACAATGTACTTGCAATCATGTCCATGAAGATAAGTGTGCTAACTAAAAGCCACACAATTTGAAAGGTTTGTGGGAAATATAAATGCAAGTGAAAATGTCTGAATTCATGAATTTCAATAAGCATCATAATCCACTAATCTTCTGGATCTATTTTTGTGTTTTATCCTGTACCACTTTCATTTCATTTAATTGGATCCTTTAATTTAACTTAATTTTCTATGTGGCCTTCTCCACAGGTATTAACATATCACTAGCTGCTGCTTTGGGTTGAGAATCTATGAACCATTTGACTATATTTGCTACTACATTATAATATGTGAATAATATTATAAAACATAAAATGAATGGTATCTAAAAGTTCATTAGAAAAGAAAATATTCAGGCAGAGCGGTTTGGTCATTCATTGGAGTAGTATCGATCTTTTTTTTTTTTTTAATATTTTTTCCCTTAGTTGTTGATAGATCTTTATTTTATTTATTTATACATGGTGCTGAGAATCCAACCCAGTGCCTCACACATGCAAGGCAAGTGCGCTACCACTGAGCCCCAGTCCCTGCCTTTTGCTCCGTAGCTGTGGGTCTTCACTGGGCAGCAGCTAGGAGCGGCCGTCGGAGGAGCGGCCTAAGATTTCGGCGTTTGGTAAGAGAAAATGGCCTGAACCAAGCAGACAGGGCATGTAAGTCCACCGGTGGGAAAGCACCCCCCTCCCCCAAACAGCTGGCCACCAAGGCTGCCAGGAAAAGCCCTCCCTCTACCGGCAGGGTGAAGAAACCTCATCGCTACAGGCCCGGGACTGTGGCTCTTGGAGAGATTCCTTGACTGAGCTTCTCATCTGGAAATTGCCTTTCCAGAGATTGGTGAGAGAGATCGCCCAGGATTTCAAAAGCGATTTGAGGTTTCAGAGTGCAGCCATTGGTGCCCTTCAGGAGGCTAGTGAAGCGTACCTGGTGGGTTTATTTGAAAATACTAATGTGTGTGCCATCCACGCTAAGAGAGTCACCATCATGCCCAAAGACATCCAGTTGGCTCCCCTGAAGGGGGAGGTGGGGAGAAACTTAAGTGAAGGCAGTTTTTATGGCGTTTTGTAGTAAATTCTCTAAAATACTTTGTTTTAATTTATGACTTTTTTTTGTAAGAAATTGTTTACCATATGTTGCATTTGTACTTTAGTCATTCCATCTTTCACTCAGGATGAGTGCGAAAAGTGACTGTTCACAGACCTCAGTGTTGTGAGCACTGTTGCTCAGGAGTGACAAGTGCTAATATGCAGAAGGGATGGGTGATATTTCTTGCTTCTCATGATGCATATTTCTGTATGTTAATGACTTGTTGAGTAGTTATTAAAGTACTAGAATTGATAAATGTGTACAGGATCCTTTTGCAATAAAACTGGTTATGATGTGATCCAAGCGTTTAACAATTGGGGCTGTTAAGTCTGATTATACATCACTGTGATAGAATGCGGGGTTTTTCAAGGGTGAAGATACAAGTCTTAACCACAGTGTAACTTACAGTTTCTTAAAAAAAAGAAAAAAAAAAGTAAACCTGGTAACTATAGAATACACTATGTGCATTTATAATAGCTATTTTATATACTGTAGTGTCAACATTTTTTAAATTAAATGTTTTACATTCACAAGTGGTGGGGAGTCTTGTCATTAAGGTGTGGATAATTTAGAGTTCAGTTGGTTTTCTCTTAACTAGAGACTGCACTTGTTTTCATAGTACTAAAATACAATGTGTAATATATCTTGCATAAGTCCTCATTCTACTACGTGTTAACTAACCCTCTAGCTAATAATGCAAACACTAACTGGGAGATTGTATTTATAATGGCTCTAGAATAAAATAACAAGTTATTGACACCAGCATCTTCTGTTAACTAATATTCTATCTAGTTTAGCTTTTCATAGTGTTGTGGTCTTAAATCTAGGTTTTCTTCTAAGAGGAAACAATATCAAGGGTTCTTTACCTTGTAGAGTTTAGTGTGGGGGAGGAGCAGGCAGCTCCAGGTTTATTAGACCTCTGCAAATTAAGATGGTGTTGGAATAGATTATATCTGGTTATTTACTGTCCTGGGAAAATCCCTTTTATAGAGATGGCCTTCCAAGGGGTTTTTAAATTTATCCTTTATTGAGGTTTTTAGGTCAATTATGTATGTTGACTAAATTTACAAATAAACTTGTTTATCCAACAAAAGAAAAGAAAATATTCATTTTAAGGCACTTTAGATGGGAGATCATTTCAAAGTCTATACAAAAATAACATTATTTTAAAAATAGCAATGCTACCTTCCACAGATTTGGGCTAAAATGTTGCCTTCCTTCTTACAAAAGGAAAATTGGGTCTTAAAAGGTAGGAGACAAATGAATATAAAGATTCATTGTTCATTCCATCATCTTTTTTTACCCCCATGCCCCTCCCTTCCCTTCCCACCTCTTTGCCCTACCTAGAGTTTATCTAATCCCTCATGCTCCCCCTCCCAACCCACTATGAGTCAGCCTCCTTATATCAGAGAAAACATTCGGCATTCAGTGTTTTGGGTTTGGCTAACTTCACTCCAACTCCATCCATTTACCTGCCAATGCCATGATTTTATTGCTGAGTAATATTCCATTGTGTATATATACCACATTTTCTTTATCCATTCATCTACTGAAGGGCATACATGTATGAAGACACAAATGGTGTGAATATACTTTATATATACCAGAGATAAAAAATTGTGCTGTACATATGTAATATGAATTGTAATGCATTCTACTGTCATATATAACAAATTAGAATAAAAAAGAAAAAAAAAAAGAAATGTGATCTGTGAAGTGCGGGGGGAAAAGCAAGGAAATAAATGAAAAAACAAAGGTTATTAGAAAAGATTCATTGTTTTTCTTTTTTAAAAATATTTTTTTATAATAGATGGACACAATACCTTTATTTTATTTTTATGTGGTGCTGAGGATCAAACCCAGTGCCTCACACGTGCTAGGCAAGTGCTCTACCAACTGAGCTACAGCCCCAGCCCAAGATTCATTGTTTTTCAAAAAAAATTTATTTTATTTTTTTTCGTGGGAATGGAACCCAGGGCCTTGCACATGTTAAATAAGTGCTTTCCCACTGAACTACACCCCCAGTCTTCATTGTTGTATTTTTATTGGTTTATTTTTAAATTTGTATTGGTAGTGGGGATTGAACCCAGGGACACTTTACTACTGAGCTACATCCCCATCCCTTTTTAGTTTTTATTTTGGGACAGTGTCTTCCTAAATTGCTGAAGTTGGCCTCAAACTTGCAATCCTCCTGCTTCAGCCTCCAGAGTTGCTGGAATTACAGGCATTTACGACCCTGCCCCACTATTTTCCTTTTTATGGTAACTTATTTTATGTTATATAGATGAAATGGAATGGAACTAGTATTTTTCTAGTTAGATTGCTATAAGTCAGTTCATCTTGATAAAAGTTTTAACCATTGGAATCAAGAATAGAAGAAAAGATAAAAAAGGAAGAATCCAGACCTATGACTTCAGCCCTATGTGGCATATTCTTACATTTTTACTACAGGCAAAGATCTGCAGATATCCTTCCCTGGCATTTGTTGACTGAATTTCACAACAGAATGTGGGGATGACATACAGCCTAATGATTTTCCCTGTTGCAGATGATGCAGGGAAAAATACTAGGTCATTTAGACATTCAAGCCAAACAATGAAATAGTCACTAATACGTTAGAATGGTTCAAATAAACTTTTTCAAAGTAATTTACTAGAAAAATAAAACCCTAGGGCTGGAGTTGTGGCTCAGTGGCAGAGAGCTTGCCTAGTATGTGTGAGGCTCTGGGTTTGATCCTTAGTACCACATATGAAAATAAATAAAATAAAGGTATGATGTTCATCTACAACTACAAAAAAATCTAAACAAATTTTAAAAAAGAAAACCCTCAATGTTTCTAACCTACTTCAGTGATAAAAAAAATCAAACTCCCATATTATTTATACATTAGTAGTAAAAACGTACATATTCACTTAGAATTTAAAAAACATGGAATGTTAAAATCACTTTTACTTTCTTATTCTTCATTCTTCTGATGAAGGCTAAACTGTTATCCTTTTACCAGATTAAGGTATTTAATATTTGAAATAACTAAAAATTAATGTAGAAAAAGACTTTAGGCTAGGGATATATATGTACGTATGCATATGTATATGTATAGATTGTTCTTTGACTTCATCCAAAACAAGAAATATAGCTGGGTGCAGTGGTGCACACTTGTAATTCTAGCAACTCAGGGAGGCTGAGGCAGGAAGATTACAAGTTAGAGGCTAGCCTCAGCAATGTAATGACACCCTATTTCAAAATAAATAATAAAAGGGGCTGGGGATATATCTCAGTGATAAAGCACCCTGGGTTTAATCCCCAGTATAAAAACAACAACAAAAACAAACACTCCCTCCAAGGAATAAAAAGGCCCATATAGGTGAGAATACTTTAAAAATTGGGACCTTTAATTCTTAGTTTGCTCAGAGTGCCATAATAAAATACCACAGAAATATGTTTCTCACAGTTCTGGAGGCTGGAAGTCCAAGATCAAGGTACTAGCAAGGTAAGATTCTTTCCGAGGTCCCTTTTGTTGACTTTAAGAAGCAGTTATCTGGCTGTGTTCTCATATGACATCGTTGTATTACTGTGGAGAGAGAGGGTGAGCTCTCTGTTGTCTCTCTTTATAAGTACACTCATCCTACCATGAAAATCCCACCTTCATGACCTCACTTAACCCTAAGTATTTTCCAAAGGCCCCATCTCCAAATACCATCACACTAAGACTTAGAACTTAAACATATAAATTTGGCAGTGGGGTGGAATATGAGCATTCAGTCCATATAGACATACATAACATGGCTTTCAATACCAGTCTCTGAAGATGTTTATTTTATTCGGGGTACAAGGTGTGCAAATTAGAGGCATTGTTATGAGGAAGACAGTAGTTCCTTGGTTATGCCTTCATTGTTTGCTCACCTAAACTTCCCATTATTCTGTTTATCAGAGATAGCAGGTGAAGTGAGCAGAACATTTTCCCACCAATTATTGACAGGTGGCCTCCTATCTGATTTGTCACTGTTCATGTGCACAAGTTGTTAAATATTTTGAATCTCACCCCTGATTATACATTCTTTATTTTAAAAATATATTATTCGGGCTGGGGTTGTAGCTCAGTAGATAGAGCATTTGCCTAGCACGTGTGAGGCACTGGGTTTGATCCTCAGCACCACATTAAAATAAAATAAAGGTATTGTGTCCATCTACTGATATATATATATTCTTCATTAAACATAAAGTAAGTTAAGGCATACATAGGTAGGAAGATTTTAAAATAATTAGCTACCATTCTCATTCATCCTTAAATATTATTATTTTCTCATTTTAAAGTAATTCAAACTTAAAGAGAATTGAGTAACCTTGAATATTGAAAGTTACAGACCCCTGTGGCTTGATAAACACAATTTTATATTGAGGTGGAATTCACATAAAATTAATGATTTTAAAGTTCATTCACAGTTCAGTGGTTCACAATAATGTGCACCCACTGCCACTATCTAGTTACAGAATATTTTCATCACCTGGAAAGGAAATGCATCTTCTCCAGCCCCTGGTAACCACTAATCTGGTTTCTGTGCAAATTTACCTTTCCTGAACATTTTATACAAGTGGAATTGTACATCAGGTAACCTTTTGTGTTTGAATTCTTTCAATTACATCACATTTTCCAAGTTCATCCATATGGTAGCAAGAATAGGTACTTTATTCCTTTTTCATCGCTGAATCATATTAAATTGTATTAATACAGCATCATTTTAAAATTGATTTGTTTGTTGATGTATATTTGGAGTGTTTCCACCTTCTGGTTGTTGAGTTACACTTCTAATAGTCTAAGATTTAAAACTGCTGCATCTCTAACTCTACTCCACTTTATGAGCTTAACTACCATAGAAAGAAGATTTTACTGCTTCATGTATTTTGTGGCAGTTGGCTCTGTTGCTCCTGAACTGTTCAATCTTTCCCTATTTGAAACTTTCTGGAAGAATATGTCTCATGCA